GTTTTACGCTGATATAATCATTGTTGCTTGATTTGCATAGTGGAAAGTGAAAGAATCAAGTGGAATTTAAAATGGTGTCATATGGAAAATAGGCGTGGTTGTAATCCGATTTCGCCCATTTTCGCACCATAATATAGAAATATAAAAAGAATGTTATGTACCAAATTGAAATCGGTTAAAAAGATCCCAAGATATGGGTTTTCACCTAAAAGTAGGCGGTGTCACGCCCACTGTCTAATTTTGAAGGCGGTTCCTATAAAGTCATCTCATACCATCCCTGAGAAATCATACTTATTAAGCTTCCACTTCCACCTTTGCAATTTAGCTTTTGGTTCCTTCAAATTGTGGAGCCATTGTAAAGGTCACTACTTACGACAAATTTTCTACCATATAAATATGGATGAACATATTTTGTTGCCCAAACAATAGCTAGTAACTCATTTCCCGTTGTACAATAATGAACTCGTGTTTATTAGGAGTACGGTTTGCAAAGCAAACAGAATGATCTTGCTGACTCAAAACAGCTCGAAGAGCTACGTTTGATGCGTCGGTGGTTAGAGTAAACTTTCTTTTATAGTCCGGGTATGCCAAAATTGGTCATTTTGTTATAAGATACTTCAGTCTCATCTACAGCGTTTATATGTTTATTCTTCATTAACTACAATTTATTGCCTTGTCCGTGAGACGGTTAGTATTGCAGATGGGCGTAATCGGACCACTGCCACGCCCACAAAACGCCATTAATCAAAAACAAATAAATGGCCATAACTAAGCTCAGGAATAAGATACAAGACTGTTATTTGGTACACAGGATCACTTTGGGGAGGGGCATCTGCAGCAATTTTTTTTTTAAAGTGGGCGTGTCCCGCCTCTAATAGGTTTAATGTGCATATCTAATAAACCGCTAATGCTATAATAACAAAATTCACTGGAAGCAAATGTTCTACCTTCTACCTTCTCTTCTACCTACAGTGTGAAAATAGTTGAAATCGGGTGGCAACTCCGCCCACTGCCCATATAACGGTACTGTTAAAAAACTACTAAAAGCGCTATAAATCAAGCACTAAACACGCCAGAGACATTAAATTTTATCTCTGGGATGGTATGAGATGACTTTATAGGAACCGCGTTCAAAATTAGACAGTGGGCGTAGCACCGCCCACTTTTAGGTGAAAACCCATATCTTGTGATCTGCTTAACCGATTTCAACCAAATTTGGTACATAACATTCTTTTTATATTTCTATGTTATGGTGCGAAAATGGGCGAAATCCATCTGATTCTTTCACTTTCCACTATGCATATCAAGCAACAATGATTCTATCGGGGTAAAACTTTGCGTGAATAATACATTTAATGTATGCCACCTTGTGACCAAAAATTGTCTAAATCGAACCAAAACTGTTCAAGCCCCTAAGTACTAAATATGTGGACCCCAGTGCCTATAGTTGACCTTCTACCGAAAATATCAGTCAATCCACAAAGAAATTTCAAACGAGTATACCATTTGACTTTGCGAGAGTATAAAATGTTCGGTTACATCCGAACTTAGCCCTTCCTTACTTGTTTTTGTATATGTTTGAGAAATAACATGTGACGTACTTATTTCTGAATAAATAAATTTGATGCCGCAAAAAGTACTGCTATAAAATGTTGCCAATATACGTAACACTTGATTTGGAATGGTCAGTTGTGCGTGGCCGCTGGTGTATATTCCGGGAAAAAAACCATATAGCAGATGCTTTCCCACGTATCGAACTAAAATATTGTTAAGTTGGCGATATTTCATATAATATCGCTACTATTCATCATTCATTTCAGAAAGATAAACGCTTTGAAAGAAGTCAAAATAATTTTGCTATGTCAAGACGATGTTACCATCAGCAAGAAAAAAAAAACAAACAACGGAAAACGACCTATGTACATAAAGAAGTGGATGAAAATTGTAGTAAAGAAGAAATTTAATTCAAAAGAAACACTTTTTGTAAATGATAGCGTTATCTATGGAATGCAAAGAAAATTCGCCGCAGTGAGTGACAAATGTATTGTTCTCATTTCTATGGCAGTTTCCAGTGACAACGACTGTTGCTTTTTAACTCAAGGTTGCCACACTTCAAATACACGCTCGCCATTTGTACAAAACCGACATGTGTTACAGTGAATGTAAGTATGTTTGTTACGCTTTCACACTGTAACAACGTAACCGATCATCATGAAACTTTGTACACATACAGTGCCACATATTAATTTAAACGCAGCATTAATTTTAATTTTGCTTTCTTCTCTTTTTTTTTATCAATTAATTACTTAAAACGAATTCAATGTCACATTGCTTGCTAAGATAATGTGAATTTTTTGTAGTACAAAAGCTGGTTTTCGTTGTTATATTTCAATTTCGTTTAATAATGTAAAAAATATGTATATATTCGTTTAACCGCACCATCTTAGTTTTTGATATGCTCATATTTACTAAGTTTTTAATAATAATTTGATCCTTCATTTTAATTAATGACTAAAAATACGAGCTGGCATAGAGTTCACTAAATTTTTTAGTTTCGTATGATCAAAACCTTCCCAAGGTTCTTGAATGCACAACTTAGCTCTAATACAGTCCTATAAACGTATCTTTGGGCTTTTAGATTTTTTGTGATATGTTTCCCACTAGATTCAAATAAGAACTGCATGGAGGCCACTTTATAAGTGCGATATTATGCTCCTCAAAACATTTTAAAGATTCATTAGAAACGTGAACGGCACCGTTATCTTATTGAAAAATTACGTCTTTATCGTTTTTTTTTATCCAAAAATAAAATTGGCACACAAATAGTGAATTCTCCGGTGACAACCAAGCATATTTGAAATTATGTAAAATGGAGAAACCGCTGCCCAAGCCTGTGTTGAAGCTTCTTCACAAACAAACGCCATTAGACTTTGCCCGAAAACACATACAGTGGACAACTGAGTGGGATAATGGCGTTTTCCGATGTAAAAAATTCAATTAAGACTGCCTTGATTTGCGTAACAGCAACATACGCATGTCAAAAAGAAACTTTGGTGGTGCCAGCGTTATGGCGTTTTCATCAAAAGGTAAAGCAAATTTATGCTTCGTACCGCCTAAAATGAAATCAAAACAAGTAAGCAGAGCTAAGGATCACCTCAGGTGTTGGCAAAACTTTATATTAAACAAGTAAGGAAGGGCTAAGTTCGGATGTAACCGAACATTTTATACTCTCGCAAAGTCAAATGGTATACTGGTTTGAGATTTCTTTGTGGATTGACCGATATTTTTGGTAGAAGGTCAACTATAGGCACTGTGGTTCACATATTCAGTACCTAGGGGCTTGAACAGTTTTGGTTCGATTTAGACAATTTTTGGCCACAAGGTGGCATACTTTATTAGCATTATTCACGCAAAGTTTTATCTCGATACAGTCATTGTTGCCTGATTTGCATAGTGGAAAGTCAAAGATACAGATGGAATTAAAAATGGTGTTATATGGGAAGTAGGCGTGGTTGTAATCCGATTTCTCATCTTCACACTATAACATAGAGATATGAAAATAATGTCATGTACTGAATTTGGTTGAAATCAGTTAAGCAGATCCCAAGATATATGTTTTCACTTAAAAGTGGGCGGTGCCACGCCCACTGACTAATATTGAACACGATTCCTATAAAGTTATCTCATACCATCCCAGAGATAAAATTAAATGTCTCTGGCGTGTTTAGTGCTTGATTTATCGCGCTTTTAGTAGTTTTTAACAGTACCGTTATATGGGGAGTGGGCGGAGTTGCCACCCGATTTCACCCATTTTCACACTGTAGGTGTTTAGGTTCTAAAAACATTTGCTTCCAGTGAATTTTGTTATTATAGCATTATCGGTTTAGGAGATATGCACACTAAACTTATTAGGGGCGGGACCACGCCCACTTTAAAAAAAAATTTTACCTGCAGATGCCCATCCCTATTGTGATCCTGTATACCAAATAAGAGTCTTATATTTTGTTGTGGAGCTTAGTTATGGCGATTTGTTTGTTTTTGAATAATGGCGTTTTGTGGGCGTGGCAGTGGTCCGATTACGCCCATCTGCAATACCAACCGTCTCACGGTACCAAGAAACATGTCTACCACGAGCTTGCACGGACAAACGGCCGGACGGACAGATAGTCACCCGAATTTCAACTTGTCTCTTCATCCTGATCATTTATATATACATAACCCTATATCTAACTCGATTAGTTTTAGGTGATACAAACAACCGTTAGGTGAACAAAACTATTATACTCTGTAGCAACAGGTAGGGAGAGTATAAAAATATTGCAAACGAATTCACCATTGATTATTCGACGAAAATGTGAATGGATAACAATCAAATTTGGTATCTTATTACGATACATTATAGGTCAAGTAAGTTTCTTTTATTGTTATATTTTACTTCACGTCTGTTAAAATGATATTAAAACATCTTCAAATGTGATATATGTATGTGATATAAACTCAACCAGAGGCTAAATTTAATATATTGAGATGATGTGGGAAACGTCAACGAGAGGATGGGAACTCATTATATTGGGAATATGAGTTTTATACCTAGGATTACACCAAATGCTTACATATTCAGCGCTAAATCATTAATATAATTTTATACTTTTTAAGAACTATCACACATTTTGACAAAGCTAAACGGTTTAAAGTCAGCTGGAACGTTTGAAACCATCATACAGGGTATATTTGCTTCAGAGAAAGATCTGGGCTTGTTGCATTAACCTTTGGCATTGTTAAGGTATACTCGAGAACATATTTTCAAGCAATTTTCTAAATATATAACTTAAACACTGACCGACATATTCTATATACATTTAACTATATGGGGCTTGCGGAGCCCCCCGATTTTGATAATTTTTAGACTTGAGATGGCATATCTTAAAGGCACTCTTTCTGCAAAGTTTTATTTCAATATATTCATGATTACAAAGAGATAATGAACAATTATTAATTTAAATATATTGTATTGTTAAAAATGTTGTGCAGAACTACCTTCAATTCTTATATGTATGTATAAATATGGTTGTTATTGCTATTTCTTGTAGTGGGAGGAGTAACATACATATGTAAATATGTCCTTTTTACTATATACATGTATATATATTTATATACATATATACGGTGTGTTCAAAGAAAAAGGTGAGATTTTAATTTTTTTTAAAAGTACTTATTTATTCATCAATATCTATTTTGTCCCCTTTATAGTAATCAACCTCGGTTATAATACACTTGTGCCAACACTTTTTCCAATCCTCGAAGTACTTCTGAAATGCGCCTTTCGGTATGGTCATCAGCTCTCAAGAACAATTTTTTCACTGTTTCGATAGTTTCTTCGCTTGTTGGCGTGGTCGCATTTCCAGGATGCTCATCGTCCTCAACATCTTCTCGGCATTCTGTAAAGCGCGTGTACCACTTATTAACACTTTTTTGAGATAAAGTGGACGCACCGAATGCCATAGTCAACATTTCAAGTGTCTTGGAGCACATTATTATATTTTTAACGCAAAATTTAGTATATATTTTTTGATCCATTTCTTTTAAAAGTCAAAAATCGAAGAGCACACATAAACGTGATAAGATTTCTGTTGTCCAAAACAAACTACTAATTGAAATTGACTTCACGAATAACGTATTTGATTCTTGTTAATACGTAGTTTAATTTTGTTTGAATAAAAAAACTACGGAAAAGTACAGTACCGAGCGGCTTACCGTCTAGTTTATTATTGATTTTTCTACCTATAAAATTACATTTTGCTTAATTTACACGAAGCCGTTGTGATGACTCGACGTTTCTCAACATCGACGACTCGGCATAATAATCAATATGAAATATTCCTTATGTGGTAATATGATCTTAAATGTATATGATAATCAATATGAAATATACATACATATATATATATATACAATATGTATATACCTAACGGTGGCATCGAATTTCATTATGCTATTGCAATAGCATATTACAATGGATAGTGTATATACAAGTTGGTATGATACATATTAATACTTTATAATATACACATACCTATGTATGTTGTTTGTTACAATGTGGATTTATTTAAAAAATACTTTTTACAACTCCCCCAGCGTTACTGTAAGAACTCTCCAGAGTTCTTATATTTACGATTTTTATTTTTGTTGTTTTCTTCTTTGCATTCTTACAAGGATTACTACTAACACCATTACTATGATTATTAATGTTATATTAATACTATATGATAAATTTTTATGGTATTTTATTTCTGAAATTTCTTTTATATTTTCAATATTTTTTATTGCAATATCTTTAAATGTTAATTATAGTGTGTAACTTTGATTTAATTTTTCGACAGGGTATGCGATTGTATCAACATACTCTGTTTTATTTTTATATTCTCATAATAAAATTTCTATTTTACAATTTACAACTTTAATTATATAAGCTAACACATACAAATTGCACATAAATGATATAAAAAACTTGCACTGCACTTATCTTTATCTCTTGTATCGTTGTTTTGTTATTGTATAGAAATTCACAAGTATTTGAAAATTTACAGCTTTTACTAAATTTTATTTATTTTCTTCGCAGCCAAAATAGCTTTCGCCAATCTTGGTAACGAATTTTTATTTTTCACTAATCTGTAATATATTTTTATTTGGCAATGGAGTTATTAACTGAATTTTAGTTTGAATGAAGGTCCTTGGTATCTGAATTGCGAATATTATTGTTTTATTTTTGTATACTACTACTCCTACTCCTGCCAATTTTAATTTATAAAAATCAATTTCGTATATTTCATTTTCTTCCTTAGGTAACATACTGGAATGTACCATATTGTATTTAGCTGCCGCTATATTGTCTTGTAATTCTTGAACTTTATTTTCTATGAACTTTAGTTTGCTCATCCAAACATTCATTTATTAAGCCTCTTTTCTTTCTTTTTTTGATATACCGGGTTATAGATGTAATTGTATATTTCATTATTCATAATTTATTTATTTTCAATATTTAGCTGTCCGTTATTTTTTTTAATCTGGTCAACTATTTCTGTAATTTTGGTTAAATTTCTAATGTGTATAACTGTATTTATTTCATTAACTTTTTCTATGTCCGCCGCTTTGATACATTTGATAGTTGAGTGATACCTATCGTTATTTAACGTTAATTCGCATTCTCATTTCTGTTGATATTTTTCTTCCATGGAGTTTTTGCATCTGAGCTTTTGGGCTATGTGTCAATATAATTTGAATTTTGTATTTATTTACAACTTCTTCTTTAATTGGGAAGTGCTCAAGCAGTTCTTCATCTGTTGAATGAATTGTTTCTGAAAATTCCAGGTTTGAACATTGTCGATACCTTACTTTTATTTTTGGTGAGTTCCCAATTCGACTCAAGAAATCAGCCAGAACATTATTTTTTCCATTTACGTATTCTACAAGTATTTCGAAATTGTATTCGTGCAATTTCAATAACCACCTTTGCTGGCGTTGAGAAAATTCCTTTACTTTATATTTATAAACTAGATATTGGACAATGATCCGTTATTATTTTACCTTTATTGCCATATGTATATGGTCGATGGTTCTTCAAATGTAAAACACTTGCTGTTAAAGAACTGCTCCAATGTCATAATCACCAGCATCATTTGTGATACTTAATTCTTCATCATACTCTGGGAATTTTAAAATTGGGTGAGATGAAATTGCTGCTTTTTAGTCCTCAAAACTTTCAATATATTGTGAGTTTTTGGCATTTATTCTATTGTCTTTTTTCAAATATTTTATCATGGGATAAGCTATTTTTGAATAATCTTTCATGTATTTTCTGTAATATCCTGTTGCTCCTTAAAATCCTTTTAATTGTTTCTTAGTTTTTTATGTTGGTAGTTTTTGAATTGCTACAATTTTATCTGGATTAGGTTTGATGCCGTCTTTTGTTAATATGTGTCCTAAAAATTTAGTTTCTCTTTGAAGAAAACTGCATTTATCTGCCTCTATTTTTAATTTGTTTTTTTTTTTTGTTAAAATAAAAAACGCCATTAATCAAAAACAAATTAATTGACATAACTAGGCTCCACAATAAGAAACAGGACTGTTATTTGGTATACAAGATCACATTAGGGAGGGGCATCTGCAGTTAAGTTTTGTTTAAAGTGGGCGTGGTTCGCCCCCAATAGGTTTAATGTGAATATATGCTAAACCGCTAAAGCTATAATAACAAAATTCACTGAAAACGAACGTTTTTAGGACCTCTATCGACAGTGAAAATGGGTGAAATCGGGTGACAACACCGCCCACCTCCCATATAACGGTACTGTTAAGAACTACTAAAAGCGCGATAAATCAAGCACTTAACACGCCAGAGTCATTGAATGTTAACTCAGGGATGGTATGAGATGACTTTATAGGAACCGTGTTCAAAATAAGACAGTGGGCGTGGCACCGCCTACTTTACGGTGAAAACCCATATCATGAGATCTGCTTAACCTATTTTATCCAAATTCGGTATTCTTTCATATCTCTATGTTATAGTGTGAAAATGAGAAATCGGACTACAACCACGCCTATTTCCCATATAAAACCATTTTCATATAATAAAATAAATAAATGAAACTCTCGATAATAGTATGTTTGTGTCAAACAAAGGGTTGAATCGGATCAATACTTCCAATAGCCCTCATATACCTAATATAAATATTTTTGAACTTCCGCGTGTTTTACTTATAACAAGGTCTTTTTGTGTCTAAAATGGATGAAATCGGATTGAAAATTTTACCTGGCCCCCATGTAACTAATATCAGGACTTTCGAAGATTCGTCTGACTATTCCATTTGATTGGTGACGATATGTGAGGTACCTTAGTGAAGTGTGGGAGCATTTTATTAGTCTGTGGCATGTTATGGTATATGGTATTGGCAAAAATTGATAAAATCGGGTTAATACTACCATCAACTTCCATATACTACTTATAATGCTTTTCGTTATTCCAACCAGTTTTATGCCGAATATGTCGGTCAGTGAGTATTAATACTTTTTATACTCTCGCAACCTGTTGCTACAGAGTATAATAGTTTTGTTCACCTAACGGTTGTTTGTATCACCTAAAACTAATCGAGTTAGATATAGGGTTATGTATATATAAATGATCAGGATGAAGAGACGAGTTGAAATCCGGGGACTGTCTGTCCGTCCGTCCGTGCAAGCTCTAACTTGAGTAAAAATTGAGATATCTTTATGAAATTTGGTAGACATGTTTCTTGGTACCGTGAGACGGTTGGTATTGCAGCAGGGCGTAATCGGACCACTGCCACGCCCACAAAACGCCATTAATCATAAATAAATAAATTACCATAACTTAGCTCCGCAATAAGCTACAAGACTGTTGTTTGGTACACCGGATCGCATTAAGGAGGGGCATCTGCAGTAAAAAAAATTTTTAAGTGGGCGTGGTCCCGCCCCTAATAGGTTTAATGTGCATAATTCCTAAACCGCTAATGCTATAATAACAAAATTCACTCGAAGAAAATTTTTTTAGAACCTCTACCCACAGTGTGAAAATAGTTGAAATCGGGTGGCAACTCCTCCCACTCCCCATATAACGATACTGTTAAAAACTACTAAAAGCGCGATAAATCAAGCACTAAACACGCCAGAGACATTAAATTTTATCTCTGGGATAGTATGAGATGACTTTATAGGAACCGCGTTCAAAAGTAGTCAGTGGGCGTGGCACCGCCCACTTAACGGTGAAAACCCATATCTTGGGATCTGCTTAACCGATTTCAGCCAAATTCGGTGTATAACGTTCTTTTCATATTTCTATGTCATAGATTAAGATTCATAGATAGATGAAATCTAACTCCTTTGGTTCAGTTTATATCATATATATCATGTTTGAGTTAAATAGTTTTTTTATTAAAGTTAACATTTCGGAGAAAAAAAAAGTATTGACACTATATATATCTATGATCAATAACATAAGTTAATAAGATACCAAATAATAATCGAATAATGAATGTTGAACTCTTTCGCAACATTTTTATGCTTTGGCAACATTTTGCAACAGAGTATAGTTTTGTCCACCAAACGGTTGTTTGCATCACCTAAAACTAATCGAGATAGATATAGATTTCTATATACATATAATTCTTCTAATGTTTGGGATAATCAGTGGATATGTATATTTTCTCAGCCATCATGTTGAACTTATAACAAAATATAGAAGGCAGAATTGCAAAAAAGTTTCTTAGAGTGCTGGACTTTGTATAAAGCAAAAATATCTTTTTAGAAAACATCGCATGAAATAAATATTAGTAGTGTAGTATCAAAAGGGCTAAAGACCCCTTTTATGTGGTTATAGATAAACTGCGACCCCATCGGTTTAAATTGTACTGTCTATTATTTCAGTTTTACGTCACATTTTAATATGAAGGTCATGAGGTGAACTGTAAACGCAAGAAAATAACATTTTTACCCAGCGCCGTTGGCAGCTTATGAAAGGTTTAGATATTAAGACAGAAAGAAGAAAATCTACATACCTGCTCTACATATGTGTATACCATACTTAATTATATGTAAGTTATTGTTACTTTAGCCTTCATGGGCAGACCCTTCAAAATAGGTACTGTTGTAAAAGTGTTAGACAAACGCAATTTAAGGAGGTGTTCACCGAGCACTTAATTTCAATACAATGAAATAAATACTAATTTCT